GGGTTGCCATGAGTCAAGATCAACTCGAGGGAAGTTAACAACAACAACATGGCCATAAAGCAAAGTACAATAACATCCGAAATTCACAAAACAGGGATACCTTTATGGAGGAGTCAACCAAAATGCATACAATACATACTGCAAGCTTTCAAAACTCTATTCTGCACAAATCCCTAACACAAAAGCTACTATTCTATCCAGTTCTTTCTAATGCCAAGGAAGAATGTTGCAAGCTTTGGAAGCTCCACTGGCTTCTTGATCAGGCAAAGGTGTTAAAAATCATACGGGGGGGGGGGGATGATAAACAGGCCTGCCTTTTGTCAAGATGTTGTGATTGTTGTCTTCAGTTCACCCCTTCACAGGGTGACCAGATGTCCTCACTACAAAGGAGGACAAGGCCCCATAAAATATAGGATATTCATGGAAGAATATATGACATTGCAAAATAAAAGCTAAAAATACTCATATAAATGTAAATCCATTCTTCTTAGTCATTGTCACAAGGGCTTCTTGGTGATGACTTGAGGTTACTCTTTTACCTCAGAGACATGAGAACACCCCTCATCAATAACACCTGCCCAACTCTTTATACACTTTCCCTAAAGGTGGTAGAATTCAAAGATATAGCTGTGTTAGTCTGTAGAATCAATATATAAGCAACCTTTCCCCTTTAAGGGCCAAGGGACTTCAGCCCCCAGAATCCCAGAAGCTATTGGCCAACATGGGACTATTGGCCAACATGGCTGAGACTTCTGGGAGCTGAAGTCCCTTAAAGGGGAAAGGTTGCCTACCCCTGTATTAATGGATTCTTCCGTTAATACGAAAGACTGAAAATGACAGCTGAAAGTGCTTTCAGCTTGCTTTCATGTGAAAGTGATTTGCGCAATCACTTTCACTTGCACTTCCCTGCTGGATCAGTGCCAGGTCAGGTGTGCAAGTCCTTCCCACGATTGGGAAGGACAGGACAGGGACAGGCCAATTACTTCCCATCCCTAATATGATAATCTCCATTGAGTAGCATAGGTAAGGTCCTGCTACTCTACTTCCCAGCCTCTTTTGCCTCCTATTCCTTCACCTCCCACCTTTGCCATGCCTTCATCCCTTGCCTCTGGTATTCTGCCCATTG